TAACCGATTGGCGGGTGGTGTTCCAGCGGGAACTAGTGGGCGAGGTTTACACCTTGTTGCCTAATACTTGCTAAGACATTATACAAGATGATACAGGGCTGGTCCACATGACTTGGGTAGTGAAAGTGAAGGAGCCTGGCACTTGGGACATCTCCCTCCCTCTCTATACCCTTCATCCATCCCTTCCTACCATGTACAATTTGTTCCAGTCCACTCTGCCTCCCACTGGTATTGACCCCCCCCCCCGGGGGGTCAAACTACTGACCCTCCCGAGGGCGTGACCCCACTACTGTGGACTACTATACAGACCAGGTACATTAACACCGCTACGACTAATAACACATCAACAGATAACGTTTAAAATATTAATATTTGAAAAGAAAATATAGGTTCACGCAGGAGACGCAGCAGACGTTCTATGGCACCCGCGGCAGACGCCCTCGAGGTAATAAACACCAGCAGGACTCTACTGTAGTTTTTGTGAGACACAAAGTGTAAACTTGGGCTAAACTGCGCTATTTTTGCAGTTGGTAAAACAGATGTGTAATGTATGACACGGTGAGGAGTGGCTCGGCCCCACATGTTTGTACCCACACTGCTTCTCTCTACTGGACTTCGTGACCCCGAAGTACAAAAGGAGGGACTTCGTGACCCCGAAGTACAAAAGGAGGGACTTCGTGACCCCGAAGTACAAAAAGGAGGGACTTCGTGACCCCGAAGTACAAAAAGGAGGGACTTCGTGACCCCGAAGTACAAAAGGAGGGGACTTCGTGACCCCGAAGTACAAAATGGAGGGACTTCGTGACCCCGAAGTACAAAAAGGAGGGACTTCGTGACCCCGAAGTACAAAAAGGAGGAATTTCGTGACCCCGAAGTACAAAAAGGAGGGACTTCGTGACCCCGAAGTACAAAAAGGAGGGACTTCGTGACCCCGAAGTACAAAAAGGAGGGACTTCGTGACACCGAAGTACAAAAGGAGGTACTTCGTGACCCCCCGAAGTACAAAAGAAGGTACTTCCTGACCCTCCAGGATGTGAGAGACGGGAAAACTGACACCTAAAACTTAACAAATACCTTTAAAATTTAACTTATTTTGAAATAAAAGGTTTAGTTTCAAAACGGAATTTACAATATGTTCAAGCACACAAATAACACGAAGGTGAGGCTGGGCTGGTCGAATACAACATATATTGTACAACACTTCAGGTAAATATCCGTCACTCTTCAGTAAAGCGAGACATTAATCACACTACACTATGTGTAGTGTGATTTATGTCTCTGATATCCGGCTCCACACACCCATCTCCATCTCTCTGTCATGATACTCACTTGCTCTAGGCACCTTATACACCCACCATGGCTTAGTCTGCCAACAGCCGTTATATAAAGGTTGACCAAACAAAGGGCGCCATCAAACACGCCCTTGCATGACCAAGCTGCCACCAGCCTTCCTGGTAACTGTAGTCCACTGCGCCACACCTTCACCCCCCTCTCCCTCCCCCTCACACACTGCTCCTATAGCACAAGAGCCCTGGTGGGCGCCACAAGAGCCCTGGTGGGCACCACAGAGCCCTGGTGGGCGCCACAAGAGCCCTGGTGGGCACCACAGAGCCCTGGTGGGCACCACAAGAGCCGTGGTGCTATACTCTTCGTGGCAGCCCCCCCTTCCCCCCCCCCCCCCGCAGGCGGCTGTAGCAGAGCTCCAGTCCACTTGGGCCACCTCTAGTGGATGGTTGTGGCCCTCAGCGTAGAGGGTGGAGTTATCAGGAGAGCGCGCAGGTCCGGCATGTAGTAGTTGGGCCTCGCTAACAGTTCACGTTTTCCTTTAATCCGCTGACGGCCGCAATTCTTTGATTTGTGCGTTGTGAATCTTACCGCGCCTTGTTAATTGTGGCCGCCTTCTAGCACCACAATGGCCGCCCTCTAGCCCCACAATGGCCGCCCTCTAGCCCCACAATGGCCGCCCTCTAGCCCCACAATGGCCGCCCTCTAGCACTACAATGGCCGCCCCCTAGCCCCACAATGGCCAGCACTGTACGGTGCGGGGATCAGCTTCAACTTTTTTTACGTTTATTCGTCACCTGTTTTATTTGAAACAAAAATTATATATGTATATTTAAAGTTAACTTAAAGGGGCAATTCCTCTGGTCCAACCCGTCCTTGTCAGCGTTCACTACAACACTAAACTGATGTACTAAATTGCCTGAATTTAACCTAACCGAGGACCCACGAACAGAAAATGGGACAAGCGTCAATTTTGTGAGCCAGTAAATATTTAATCAACCCGTCCTAACACTACGAACGTCGCATTTTGACGTACACTCAACCTAAAGCCAAAAACTGTCGTACCAGTAAATGGAAGCGGTTCGCGAAATTGACACACTCTCCCGTTTTCTCTTTTGGGTCCTGTGGTTGGTTAGGTAAGGGCACTTTAGTGCCACAGTTTCTTGACGTTGGTAACGCTCGCGAGAACCGGCTCATTTAACACATCTTAATTTGACGATGTGGATTTTTACATCAAAATTGGATTTGTTTTGCGACAGAACAGATTGTTCATGTGTTATGCACCACAGTATAGCCCTCCCTACACTATACCTCTCCCCACCACACCACACCTCTCCACCACACTCCACCACAACCGGCTTGATCAGAGCTCAGCCTCAGTGTAATTGTCTAATTGCCTTATTTTGTCATCTGACCAGGTTATAAAGAGCCTAAAAATGCGGTAGCAGGGAGGAGCTACGTTATACCAATGATCTATTCTGGATACAATGGCCACACCCTCAGATCAATGCCGTCCAATGACCTCTCTCAACGTTGGTTCCCCGGCTGGTATTGGCCGAGGCTCTGGTCCAAGACCCGCCTCCAGGGGGGGCTGGGTGCATGTGGAGTGACCTGTGTCAGGTCACAGGGGATCCTGGTCCCTGGGAATCCGCCGCTCTCCAATTACTGGTATTCTTGCCCCCTGTTCTCTCACATCTTAAGACACTGATTCCAAGAGAAAGTTCTTCGTTTGAATACATACTGATTGATCAACTACACTGTTATTCCAACAGATAATTATAATTGTTTAAAGTCGATTGTGATGAGGAAGTAGAGGCAGGCAATAAATAGGCAAGAGATAGGCCTTGCCTATTTATTATAGTCTATATATAAATAAATATATATAATATTTATTATATTTATGATAAATAGGCCTGTCTGATAAATAGGCCTGTGGACACAAGCAGGTGTGTCTACACCCGGTCAAAATAAGGTACAAAGTGTTCCACACCTGGTGTAGAAGGGGACGTCCACGTCACACATGGTGTAGAAGATAACATGGAATATCCTCACCTGGTGTAGGAGAGGGCAGGGGGGGCGGCCACACCTGGCGTAGGAGAGGGGGGCGGCCACACCTGGTGAAGGAGAGGGGGGGGGCGGCCACACCTGGTGAAGGAGAGGGGGGGGCGGCCACACCTGGTGTAGGAGAGGGGGCGGCCACACCTGGTGAAGGAGAGGGGGGGGCGGCCACACCTGGTGAAGGAGAGGGGGGGGGGCGGCCACACCTGGTGAAGGAGAGGGGGGGGGCGGCCACACCTGGTGAAGGAGAGGGGGGGGGGCGGCCACACCTGGTGAAGGAGAGGGGGGGGCGGCCACACCTGGTGAAGGAGAGAGGGGGGGCGGCCACACCTGGTGAAGGAGAGGGGGGGGCGGCCACACCTGGTGAAGGAGAGAGGGGGGGCGGCCACACCTGGTGAAGGAGAGGGGGGGGCGGCCACACCTGGCGTAGGAGAGGGGGGCGGCCACACCTGGTGAAGGAGAGAGGGGGGGCGGCCACACCTGGTGAAGGAGAGGGGGGGGGGCGGCCACACCTGGTGAAGGAGAGAGGGGGGGCGGCCACACCTGGTGAAGGAGAGAGGGGGGGCGGCCACACCTGGTGAAGGAGAGAGGGGGGGCGGCCACACCTGGTGAAGGAGAGGGGGGGGCGGCCACACCTGGTGAAGGAGAGAGGGGGGGCGGCCACACCTGGTGAAGGAGAGGGGGGGGCGGCCACACCTGGTGAAGGAGAGGGGGGGGGCGGCCACACCTGGTGAAGGAGAGGGGGGGGCGGCCACACCTGGTGTAGGAGAGAGGGGGGGCGGCCACACCTGGTGTAGGAGAGGGGGCGGCCACACCTGGTGAAGGAGAGGGGGGGGCGGCCACACCTGGTGAAGGAGAGAGGGGGGGCGGCCACACCTGGTGAAGGAGAGAGGGGGGGCGGCCACACCTGGTGTAGGAGAGGGGGCGGCCACACCTGGTGAAGGAGAGGGGGGGGCGGCCACACCTGGTGAAGGAGAGAGGGGGGGCGGCCACACCTGGTGAAGGAGAGGGGGGGGGGCGGCCACACCTGGTGAAGGAGAGGGGGGGGGCGGCCACACCTGGTGAAGGAGAGGGGGGGGCGGCCACACCTGGTGAAGGAGAGAGGGGGGGCGGCCACACCTGGTGTAGGAGAGGGGGCGGCCACACCTGGTGAAGGAGAGGGGGGGGCGGCCACACCTGGTGAAGGAGAGAGGGGGGGCGGCCACACCTGGTGAAGGAGAGGGGGGGGGGCGGCCACACCTGGTGAAGGAGAGGGGGGGCGGCCACACCTGGTGTAGGAGAGGGGGGGCGGCCACACCTGGTGTAGGAGAGGGGGGGCGGCCACACCTGGTGAAGGAGAGGGGGGGCGGCCACACCTGGTGTAGGAGAGGGGGCGGCCACACCTGGTGAAGGAGAGGGGGGGGGGCGGCCACACCTGGTGAAGGAGAGGGGGGGCGGCCACACCTGGTGTAGGAGAGGGGGCGGCCACACCTGGTGTAGGAGAGGGGGGGGCGGCCACACCTGGTGAGCACGAGTCAATTCACTGTAAACAACACCACTGATCAACATTAAGATTAACAAGGTGGTTCAGTAACAACAATATCGGCTCCGTATCTATCTCTGCAGGTTGACGCAGAGCACCTGCAAACTTTGCTCTATATTGTCACCGTTTACTTCACCTAATTAGTCTCTTTTATATAGGCGACGTCTGTGTGACGCAGAGCATGGCGTGACGCAGAGCATGGCGTGACGCAGAGTACGGCGTGACGCAGGGTATGGCGTGACGCAGCGTGTGGCGTGACGCAGAGTACGGCGTGACGAGGACTAGGACGCGCGTTAGTGTTCCTGCGTGGTGGTGCTGGAGGAGCGGACCCACCTACCTCCGCCACTGACACACACACTGCCCACACTGACACCACCTCCAGCCCCACCACCCACCACTGCTGCCTTCACCCTCCACCCACTCCCACCACCACCACTCCGCCCACTCACCCCCCACCACCACCACCACTATACAGCCCCCACCACCACCATACCAACTCCACCACGCCCAACCATTCGTCACACCCACCTGTGCATAACCATTCCTCACCCCAACCCTGGATGAGGGTTGTATTAGAGCCTCGCTTAGAACCCTAAAGCAGGGCTTATTCAACAATCAAAGCCAGTCTACACAGACTGTTAGACCAATACTAGAACATACACCACCAGCCTCAAACCCACCGTGGAGAATAATGCCAAAATTGAAAAAGAAGACAAATTTGCAACAAGATTGTTGCCTGTTATATGGGCATGAGCAGTGACGATATGTTAAAAAAAACTACACCTCACAACCCTGAATGAGAGAAGATACAGTGGGGACATGATTGCAACATACTGAGGGACATTGACAAGGTCGACAAGAAGAGCCTCTTTAAATTGAGAGAAAGTATTATGAGGACACAAGTGGGAGCCGGAATCACACAAGAGTCCAAGAATCATCGGCAAGTTCTCGTAGCTTGTACAGGAGGTCCAAAAGTGGAATGCAATGAAAGGAGTTGCAGAAGCCACATCCATTCACAACTTTAAGGCCATATTCAACCAAACATTTGAAAGTCAGAAGTTAAATAATGCAACAGCTTCAGCAAGGCTGTAGTAGGCGGAGCATAGCTAGACCTCACTTATCACTGACGATGGGAAGTACACACACTGCACAACATTATATTAAACTCACAGGATAAACACGTGGATTAATCAGAGATGTAAGAAGGCCAAGCAACACAGTACAGGGCTAGGACAACTACACAGTACAGGGCTAGGACAACTACACAGTACAGGGCTAGGACAACTACACAGTACAGGGCTAGGACAACTACACAGTACAGGGCTAGGACAACTACACAGTACAGGGCTAGGACAACTACACAGTACAGGGCTAGGACAACTACACAGTACAGGGCTAGGACAACTACACAGTACAGGGCTAGGACAACTACACAGTACAGGGCTAGGACAACTACACAGTACAGGGCTAGGACAACTACACAGTACAGGGCTAGGACAACTACACAGTACAGGGCTAGGACAACTACACAGTACAGGGCTAGGACAACTACACAGTACAGGGCTAGGACAACTACACAGTACAGGGCTAGGACAACTACACAGTACAAGGCTAGGACAACTACACAGTACAGGGCTAGGACAACTACACAGTACAGGGCTAGGACAACTACACAGTACAGGGCTAGGACAACTACAGGAATATGAGACCACCAGAGAGCTGAGGGACACATCAGGCGGCCAGGATGAAGTACCTCAGTATGTGAAAGAAGAAGGGGGGTGAGATATAGATAGGTAACCTAGGTGCTAGTTTCAAAGTACATTCTCATGAAATAGTGCCGTCTCTTGAAGAAGACTGCAGATGAGCTGAGGTAGGATAACAGCTCTTGCTTGCAGTTTCACTAGCTACGTCATTTGACAGCCCTTATGAACCTTAGTCTTAGTTTAAAAAAAAAAGACAAAAGAGAAAGAATGAAAGAAGAGAACGTGAGTGAGGCACTGAGGGAGACAGTGAAGTAACCAGACAGTGAGGCACTGAGGGAGACAGTGAGGTGACCAGACAGTGAGGCACTGAGGGAGACAGTGAGGTGACCAGACAGTGAGGCACTGAGGGAGACAGTGAGGTGACCAGACAGTGAGGCACTGAGGGAGACAGTGAGGTGACCAGACAGTGAGGCACTGAGGGAGACAGTGAGGTGACCAGACAGTGAGGCACTGAGAGTGAGGTAACCAGACTGTCGGGTCAGAGTAAGCAGGTCGACAGCCAGACTGAGGCTATATATAGGAGACAGGCAGCAGACAGCCAGGTAGTCAGGAAGGCAGGCAAACGTCCCTAATGACATTCTCGCTTGACCTTTATAAACATCTATTCCAAGTGATGGTGCGGCCCAGTTGATGACGGGCCCCATTTGATGACGGGGCCCGGGTGATGACGGGGCCCGGGTGATGATGGGGCCCCAGCTGATGGCAGGGGCCAAGTACTAGTTGATCGTGGGGGCCCAGCTGATGGCGGGACCCAGGCAATGGTTGAGCCCATGAGGAAGCTGAGGTTCACTAGGGCAAATTCTGGCAACACTGCGTGTATTGTGTATGTAAAGTGTCCCCCAACTAGCGCGCCTCTACCCAGGACACGGTACCACCTCGTAGTAACACGGGAGAGCAGAGGAGAGTAATGAATATAAAAATAAAGAACGAACGACGGAGGCAATTATGAAGACTATGCACGCTGTGAAAGTGTCGGGGGTAGGTGGTTGTGTGGGAGGGGGTGGAAACAGAAAGGGAGAGAAAGAGGGGAGAGGGTATGAGGTAGCAGTGCTAAGCCTGGTCACCACACACCCCCACTCGCCCCCACCACGGAGTACGAGCCTGGCCAGAGAAAGAGCCCGACCCTGCCAACTAAGCCCAAAAGCCGTAACTGAAACACCAGCCAGCACCCGACCCTGGCTGGAGTTTCACTGCATCGTCAACGCCATCTTGGCCTCGCGCGCAGTTCCTAAATTCACTTATATAAGCCAGTGAGCGTCCCAAGACGGGAAAAACAAACATCGAATTTTATGTGTTGATGGTGCCTAAATTAACACACGCGTAATTGTAAATTCAACTTGGGGGCGATATACTCCAAGTCTCGACAACTACCATAGTTCGAGGCCTCAACAATGTTGAGGCCAGAATACTGAGCCAATGTCCACATGTCAGTAGAGGCGGGGAAGGAATACTAACCCGTCCTCATAAACGAAGGCAAATGCTTGTTAATCCACCCGACAAACCTGTTTATGAATGACAAATACCTTCCACGGGGCTCTAAAACTGTAACCTGTCGTGGTGCTCCCTGGTCCAGGGCTCTCTACCCGACCCACCAGCCCGTCCTCCAAACAAAGACCCAAAAGTGCTTTCATGCACCCGCCAAACCCCCCTGTTTATGAATGAAAAACGGTTTACACACGACTCAACTGATTTCGTTCGAACACTTCCGGAACACTGACGAATTTTGTTCGAACCACAACGCTGTAAATGCTTCACCCACGTACTACAAATACAAATAATCGCCAATAGAACCTAAACACCTAACCTATGCCTATATATATATGCACAATATGCTAATGTATTATAAAATAAATTTATATTTGAAAAAATTCCTGTTTTGAATGAACAACATGGTAAAATTTATGAATGCGTTTGTGGGGTCGACCTCTGGATGTAATGGACTTGAGTGGAGGACGGGTTGCCATTTGGAGAGTCGTGTGTAAACCGTGTTTTTATTCATGAAGTGTGTTTGGCGGTGGATTAGCGAGCATTTGGCCTTTGTTGATGAGGGAGGGCTGGACACATCACTCTCCTCACTAACACACACACACACACACACACACACACACACAACACCACCAGCTTCACCTGGGGCACAGGAGCGCGTCTATATACAAGCCGTAAGCCGCCTCCACAAGTACACACACCCGCTCACCTGGTGACGCTCTTAAGCCCCGTCACAACTGCTGCCAATATGCAACACTGTAATGCTTACAAGAAGTGAGGGGAGGAGTTGGTGCCTGAGAGCTGAAGCAATTATTGCAGATATGGAGAAGATACAAGACTTCCTTAGCGTGGTGGTGTTTACATTCTGGTGACATGCACCCATTACCGTCTCTCAGCCAGGCTCTCTTGTCTTCTCCTTCCCCTCGCCTCGATACTTTGATCTCAGCGCCTTCAATTATTCCCAGGTGGTTCCTCGCCAGGTGGTGTGCGGCCCAGGTGGCTACTCACCCCGTATGGCCATTGACTCATTAAGCCAGGTGTGTGGAAGGAGGTTGTAGCGCGGCAGTGATCAATGCCCCAAGACCCACAAGGCGACGGGTTATTTGCTCTACCCTTGTCGGACATCTTCAGGAACATGTTCCACCATATTGAGCAAGAGAAGCTCCTCGAACCACGCCCACCCACTCCCATACCATCCACCCTAACTATTTGATCCTCCACTACCCATTCAACCAATACAACCCGCCCAACCTACTTCCCCAACCTCTCACATTTCAACAATACATCTCAACCTAGTTTTTCTTCCAACCCAACCCATCCCACCTGTTCCGCCACTCCAATAAAACACAGGATGCAGCAACATGGATTAGCCAGCTGGTGGAAAGGAGAAAACCAGGGCAGTGGTGGATCAGGAATTACAGTTAAGAGTGTAGAGAGAAGGACTGAGCAGCTCTATAGCCTCTATATACACAGATGAAGGGAGGGGGGTCTAAGCAACATAAATTAAGTTTCCAGGCTAGACAGTTAAGAAATCGACTTATAAAGTATTCACGAAGGAGGCAATCTTATCCAAGAAGAGCAAACCTCTGCATGTAATGGAATACAAAATTTTATTCTGCAGAGGTGAAGGAAGAGATAAGGTAGCAAAAGCAACTGCTGCCACAACAACCCACAACCATACCTACCCATAGAAGGAAAGCAACATGTGAGGGATCTGGGAATTATGATGTCTGTCGACCTGACAATAGTGAGCATAACCGAGCATATATAGGTAACAGAACTCGGTACTCTCCTTTCAGAACAGGAGAAAGATCTCAAATGGAGAATAGAGAGAACATATACGGCACGCAAAGACACGATAAAAAAAACTAAATTACCTGGACCGTCTTAAAGTTCTCAAAATGTATCCTCTGGAAAAGAGACGAGAAAGGAGTCACATCTGTACCTATACTCACTCACCTAGTTGAGCTTGGTTCAAGTTCACGTTCAAGTATGTTTATTGAGACAAGAAAAAATACATCTCAAAGGGATAGAGTAGCTTAGGCTATTTCTACCCCCCAAAAGACTTGAGCTTCGCCTTTTTTGGTCCCGCCTCTCAACTGTCAG